GGTCTGGGCACCATGCTTTCAGGGGACATCTATGTCAATTGGCATAACAAAGCTTATTAAGAAAATGTTCTGCATCCTACTTTGGTGAGTGGCTTCTGGGGTCTTAAAAGCTTGCAAGCAGCCATCTAACATGCATCAATTGGTCCCAACCACTTGGAGTAAAGAAGAACGAAGAGCACCAAAGACACAAGGAAAGTATTGGCCCAAGAGACAGAAAGGGCCACATAAACTAGAGCTTCATCAGCCTGAGACCAGAAGAACTAGATGGTGCCCGGCTACCACCAATAAAAGACCTGACAGGGAACACAACAGAGGGTCCCTGATGGAGCAGTAGAACGATGGGATGCAGAACTCAAATTCTAGTAAGAAGACCAGACTTAATGGTCTGACTAAGACTGGAGGCACCCTGGAAAGCATGGCCCCAGGTCTCTCCATCACCCCAGAACTAAAACAATTTCGGAGGCCAAATCTTCAGACAGGGATTGGACTGGACTGTGGGACATAAATTGATACTTGTGAAGAATGTGCATTTTAGACAAGTAGATACAAGAGACCAAACGGGAGGCTTCTGTCCATAGGTGAGATGGGAAGGCAGAGAGTTAGGAGCTGGTTGAAAGTTCATGGAGAATCGGGGCGGAGGGGAGGAGTGTGCTGTCGCAGAATGGGGTGAGCGGTTGGGGTATCATAACAATGTATGTAAAAAAGAAAAAATTCTGTATGGGAGACTAACTTGAAATGTAAACTTCATTTAATTACAAAAAAAAAAAAAAAAAAAAAGGAAAAAAACTGAAGAACTATCCAAGAAATCAAAGTCAAATTTTATAAGCCTTAACAGCTATTTCAGAATTATCTTTTTATGCCATTACCTACTTTTCCAGAATGGTCTCTACCCAAAGTATTGTCTAAAATGCAGACGATTCTGGCTGCATGCTTTGCAGGCACCATTTTTCTTTCTCTCTTTACCCTTTTTCATAACCACATATCAGCTCTGTATCAAACTCTCTTTATATTGACTACTGCATTCATTCTCTGGAATATGAACTTGCAGTTACATCTTTTTTCTTATCCGTTTTCCCAATTAGTGTAGCATCCCTCTACCCAGGACCCTAGTTTTATTGTAATATTTTAGTTCTCATATTTTCTAGTTCAATGCTGTGTACTCTTCTCCTTTATTTTTTCCCAGGCAATCACCAAAAATTTTTTCATAAGATATTAATCTTAAGATCTGAATTTTTTTCATTTCATTAAGATGTTAACATTTTTAAACAATGTTTCCATACTCTTAAAGTCATATGGTATTTGTTACAGAGTCTATTAAAATCCTGATACCTTCAACATTTTGAAAAATGAATGCACAATGGTGAAACATCTAGAACAGGGAACAAGGATGGGCAGATGATGGCTTTTATTTGGAAGTAAATGACACTTGTACTGTAAGTGAAAGTGGGGTTTTAGACATACCCAATATGGATCGCGTGGCTTTGAAGGACTCTGGGATGAGCAAGAGTGACTGAAGGACAGCAACCCTTCTGTGGTTAGACAGGGGCATTAACCAGACTCCCCTCTCTTCCTCCTTCCCTTCCAGACCAACGGCTACTGATTAATGGCCTTCAAGGGTAAATCTCTGCAGTCAAAGTAAACTCCTCAGGCCATCCCCCTCACCCCTTTAGGTTTCAGACTTGACTTTCCTCTCCCTTCCCAGGAGCCCTGGTGGTGCAGTTAAAGTTAAAGCACTCAGCTGTTAACTGAAAGGTGGATGTGGTTCGAACTCACCAGGTACTCTGTGGATGAAAGATGTGGCAGTATGCTTCCTTAAAGATTACAGCCTCAAGAACCCTATGGAGCAGTTCTACTCTGTCCTATAGAGTCACTATGAGTAGGAATTGACTCCAGGGCAAAGGGTTTGGTTGTTTTTTTCTCCCTTATCCCTGAGGCTCTGGTATCACATTCCTTTCCCCCTCTGTAATTCACCCACTCTTTGAGTATATTAGTGTTAGAACAAAGCACCCCTCCCCACGCTCACTAATATCATACCTTTTTATACCCATAAGGCATGTCCACAGACTATGGGACAATTAGCCCAATTAAGTGTAAAATAACGGAGCTGCCCAGCTTTTCTTTCACCTGTTCTGTCCATTGTGACTCTACAACACTCAGATTGGATTGACTGAAAAGACTGGTCCTGGTGGCTGGCTGAGCAATTTTCTCTTTATAATAAATTTTCTCTTTATCTATAGATAAAGGTGAAATCTAAAGAAAGCTAATATTGAACTTAAGGGGATCAGTTCTTTGTATCTGAAAAATATTATAGAAATGGCGATTCTGTATAAGAAGGAGAATCTTCCTTCAACCTCCATAAATTCAGCAATGTTCATGGACGTCTGACAGAACCTTCAAGATACTCTAGTTGCACTAAATAGACAATAGATAAGTGGTAACTTTGGTGAAGGCTAAGACAGTACACAATACTAGGGAAGCCAGTACAACTTGTACAAGGCAAGGTCATGGAAGCTCCATAGACACATCCAAATTCCCTGAGGGACCATATTGCTGGGCTGAGGGCTGTGGGGACCATGGTCTCGGGAACATCTAGCTCAGTTGGCATAACATAGTTTATAAAGAAAATGTTCTATATTCTACCTTGGTGAGTAACATCTGGGATCTTAAAAGCTTGTGAGCGGCCATCTAAGATACTCCACCGGTCTCACCCCAGCTGG